GCGGGATTCGGTTACGCGCAATTTCGGGCCGCGTATCGTCTGCGTTCCAAAATCGACTCTCATTATCAGGGACACCTACGCCTACGTGCGGCCACAGCTCTCTGCGATGCATCAATTTTGGCACAAAGTCGAGTGCCCGGCCCCCCATGATACGACGGATTAGCAAGAAAGGCACGCGTTGAGGTGCCACACCTCTATTTAAGCATTTGGCATAGATTTTAGAAAAAATACTTGTTGTACGACACCTACAGGAAAAATGTTGATAATTTAGTAGGAGGAGCAGAACATTTAGTGTTTATAATGGGTTTGAAAGCTACCCTAAGATTATAGACCCGTAAAGCATATTCACTGAGGTGATTCAAGTCACATAAAAAGACCATATTTCATTAATAATCAACTAACTAAAAATTTTACGTTCACGTGTTCACTAGACTGGGCCAAAAAAATCAACTATTTTTTTTTTGAATAGTATATCGAAAATATGGTTTGGGGTGACAAAAAAAATTATTGTGAAAGTTTGAGTCCATAATATTATTATTAAGAGGTCTATCATCGCAATTTAAATTTTTTTTTCCTCAGCAAGTTTTAGGCTCAGAACTCCCAAAGTTTAACAAAATTGACTTGAAAATATTTTTTTAAGAAAATTAAAAGCTCTACAAAAAAGGTTAAAGTAAAATTTTATTAAACTCAATGATTGAGACAAAAACTCGCTCAGGAAAAAAAAATCTAAAATTGCGATGATAGACCTCTTAATATTAATATTATGGACTCAAACTTTCAGCATATTTTTTTTTCTCACCCCAAACAATATTTTCGATATACTTTTAAAAAAAATAGTCGATTTTTTTGGGCCAGTCTAATGTTCACATATAAATATTTTTATAAAAAATGTATTTAGGATTTACAAAATTCTACCAAAAATTTATTTTAATTTTTGCAAAAATTGATTGGAAATAATATTGTTTAATACACATTGTAACGGGTGCGACACTAAAACTGCGTTTTTTTCATGATAATAAAGTGTTTGTTCATATAATATATTATATCAAGATACATTAATATAAAAAATAGTATAAAAAATTAGGTGTTTAACTCGAACAAAATGTCAATAAAAACTTGTATAGAAAACCTTTTATAACGTCATGAATAGCGTAACGGGCGCGACCTAGAAAATCGGCAAATGCGACCAAGTTGGCTTCTAAAGTTGATACTGTAAAATTTTGGATGAAAGCATATAGTAATATTTTTTTGTGTAAAACTTGAATAGAAACCTTAAACAAGCACGTATTTTAAATGAACAAAAATTGCATACTTTATTTTCTAAAATTTTCACAAAATGTAACGGGTGCGACATTTGAACATTTTATCGAGTATTGAAACTCTTCCGTGTTTATTCTTAATGTTAGCTTCTTAGCATCACAATGTACGAATATTTTAAGGTTATAAATTACGTCGCAATTAAACTATTTGACTAAAGATATAGTTGTTATTTTGTTAAATAACACATCTGATTTTTTGTGAAGGTGGGGTAAGGTTTTGTGGAAATACCCAGAAGTAAACTGTTAGTTGGTAAATTTTGTCTTTCAAACCATGATGGTTGAAAATATTTTAAATTTATAAATGCATTTGTTAAAAAGTATCGACTTAAGTTATAAATTTTGTGCTATAAATGTATCAATTAAAAAGTTTTGGTTTAAATTTGTGAAGAGTCATTTAAACGATAGTCGATAAATTTTAATCCAAAAATTACCACTTTAAAATTTAAAACTTACATAAAATGTAATGTGAGAGTTTTTGTATTAAAACAAATTTAAACCGATAATTTTGTAGAATAAAATATTTGTCGAAAGTAAAAAAAATATTCTATTTTTTTAATCACCCTTATATACCTTTTTCTAAATTTAATATACAATGATGATGAATAGATAATTTAAAAGTAAGCATGTTGTTTTAATAAAAGTAAACAATAAATTAGGTATATTAAAATTTTCAGAAAAAAACGTAAACAAAACGCCAAATTGACCCGTTTTCTCGATACAACAGAGTGTTAATTTGTCGATGGCGACCAATAAAAATACCAGTTTCTATATTGTCGGTGCGAGCGTAGCATCCCTTAGGCAACTTTCATTCCGTGACATTTAAAATGTCAGTTGTTTTAGAGAGAAAAACTTCACTTTCAGTAAGAAGCAAGATCCGGTCTCCTTAATTATTTCGCCAATACATATTGTGTACTTTCCTTTGCGACCAAAAGTGGCCGAGAAAAAAATAAATATTTAAATTGGTTTTGATCTCCATGTGACTTTTACATTTATTTTGAAAAGCAATCTCGAGTATCCTTGATCTTAGGAATTTGTTTTAGATACGCATTTTGTTACGTAACGAATGCATTGTATTAGGTGCGACGATAATAAATAAAATCGATTGAAATTAGGGAAATCATATGCATATGAATAATGACTAAATAAAACATAAACACGCGGAAATCCATAGCGAGACCGGTTGACATTTATGTTAGGTATGGAGAATGTTCCCACAGATACGATACTACGCATTAGGCGAATTAAATGGGATATTGTATTAGTTTAATTTTATCATTTAAGTGCCAAACACTTTTCGTTTTAACCTAGAACTTGCTAACGCAGATAAAAATGTTGCAGACGCATGATACCAGGAGAAAGAATTTATGTAGTTTGATGAGAGGGGGCAAATATTTATTTTCCCTAATATGTTTCAAAACCACCCTAAGAATATAGAACCGAATGAATGGGAATAGCAAAATATAAACCCATATTTACTGAGTTCGAAAATTCACATGTAATTATAATTAATTAATGCGGGCAGCCAATTTCATTTAATACGTTTAATTGTTTTGGAAATATTTTGAAACAGTGAAAGGCGTACACACGATAAGAATTCCGATACAGTTATGTATGTAGGTACTCAATAAAACACGAAATTCTCCGGTTGATCGTGAAACCTTTTTAACGCGCGTTCAATCTACCCATGAGATTGTGGTGGAAAAACTTAAAACAGATGTTGAAAGTTGATGACAAGAACAGTTTATTATTTTGAGTATTTGGTCAACTGGAACGAGGTAATCTTGAAGACAATTAACAACTTTGGCGACCTAATTGACACCGGCAATAAATCAGTGATTAGAACAATGAACAAACATGAGAAAACCATCAAGACATTACCTAACCCTAATTGAAATAATAATAATATATTAGTTCCAGATATCTGCCCACATTAGCGATGGTTTAAGTATAGACAACAAACTCGATTTACCTTGTGTCTTGTGATATCACGCGTCAAAAAAATCTCACCGGATTCATTGAACTGTCCCGCTCACTACCGGGGACCGGTGCCAAACGAATGCGATTTGTGCTATTTTATGCGAATTGGCAAGTGCGACACTTGGCAATTTTAATATTTTTACGGGATTGCATTAATCATCCAGATGTAGCAACGGATTAGGCTAATAAGGTTGCTACACGCGGCATTCGCGATTATCGTCCACATAACCTTAAATATCTATCTGGTGGCTACTCTTCCTGTTTTGCTTGGGAATCGCGGTTATCTAATCTAATGTGTTCATAGGAAAACAAATCCGTTATCGGTTGAATTACAACATAGTGTACACGTTCTTATCTATACCAAGTAGAATATATAAAATAAAAAGTCTCATGATGGACGTTAAACTCATCGACGTTGCGTTTTTATAAGGAAGGTATCCTGTGTCAAGTAAACTAAAACCGTTTGCGTGATGTACAATAACTTTATACTGTACTTGGCCAATAACCAATCTCCGGTGACAGCTCGCCGCGCCATTCCTCTTAGGCTAAATTTAATTTTCAAGTAGGTTAAGAAAATTTCGAAAATAGTTTCGCGATTTGCCAGCATTTCACTTATCAGCTTCCGTTCTGAATCACCGAAGTATTTGTTTACATTGCATTTGCAATGACCCATGGGTATACATCATCAAACATGGGCGAGATGTTTGTTGGTCGAGGATGACTCGCCAATAATAATTATTGTCGTATCAGGAAATATACATTCACACGTGACATTTTTAAAAGGCCCATTACTATGTTAATGCATTCCCTATTCATGCGGCATTTCGCGAAATTAATATTAATCACCGGTAGTTTCGCTGAGTTTTACTATAAAGTTCATGGTGGCTTCACTTGAACCTAAATCCTTGAAGAATCTCACATTTACATTGCGTACTAATAAAGCGAGCTAATCAACGAGTCTGTGATTTTCCATTCAGGTTGTTAAACTTGACGGTGCTAAATTAATATGCATACCTACCAAATCTAATGCGTCGCATGGGAATGTTGAAGACATAAATTGCAGACGTAGTAGTTTTATCATTGCATTGCATTGCATTGGTTGCAAATCGAATTAACACAATGAGAACTTGTTTTGAAAAACGTTCATTCATCGAATACCTACGGTTTAAAGTTACTCATCTGAGTTAACCTTCCGGTGGCTGTCTGGCAGTCCTGCCCTGCCCATGCAAAAAGAACACAAACAAAAGTTCGCGGGAACAAGTCCCGACCTGTTTGAAACGGCAGCTGCTCAATGGCAGTGGTTCAAGTGTATTTTCACCCATCTCTTTTATTTTCCATCATTATTATTATTATTAGTATTTTGAGCGAGCGTTCCTCCTCCGTCTCCTTCTATTTGACCCAGACGTATTGTTATTGTTTTGCATACCCGAATCTTTACTCACACGGTTTTTAAGTTCCTTTTATTGCCGCTTTCAGACAGGATACGCGTTTTTTTTATTGCCATTACGCTGTCTATGGATTTTGACACATAGCGAGAATGTTTTGTTTTTAATTTGCTCTTTAAACTTCTCATACTGGAATTTCTGCGGAAATACAAAAGTCACATGTCTCGACTAAATAACTTTGATATTTGATCACATGTTTTGGCACACAAACGATTAGTCATGTGTACTATAAGCTACTAATTACTTTTTTATTTTGCAGGAAAAAATGTGGCACCAACTCCTGATATTCATGCGAAAATTACAAATACTTTTCGGATAGGAAGATGACTAATAATACATTGGAAATGAACATCACTTATACGATGTATTTAAATGTTATGCTAATGACAATAAAAGGCTTTTAAATGCTTTAGTCGTCTTATTTTTGTGTTGGTATTCTGAAACAAGCGTCTTAACTTTCTATAGAAATGATCTCTATATGTGGCGTGGATAATGGTACTTTGCTTTCTTCAGAGATCATTTTCTATAGAAAGTAAAGTCACATGACGTGCAAGACGAGTGGAAACGTAACATCCTGAATTATGAAATTTTCCTTGAACGATGATTTACAAGGACTAATTAGGCAACAGATTATCATCTGAGATGTTAATTTGGATCATAAATCATAGAAGCGTCACAGTTCACTAAACTTTTTAGCTCGCACTAATTGAAGCGATATGTATACATACACACTGGGTAAACTCGCAACTCAAGGTAAAGTTGATTGAACCGGCGATTTTTTTCGCGTGCGTGTGTTGCGTGGAAATTAAATTTTTCATTGTGTTTACACGCCCGAAATAGTTGAATTATTGACTTTTCCGATCGATTGCGTATTTTTAAACTCTTCGTAATAGTTGGCCTGGCTTTTGACAGTTCCTGGTATCGAGTGGGCGGCGACCCGTTGACAGTTTTATCTCTTGAAACGTCTGGCGATTCAATAGAAGTTTTTCCCACGCGTTAATTAGTTTTTTACAATGTGTTACGGTTCTAATAGCGAAGTCCGAATCGTATTAATAAAACTATAGGAGGTCTAAAAGAATTTTGTACAGTTTAGTTCGTGAAAGATGATTTAATTACTGCAGCATGGTGTAACGAGCCTTTTAGAACGTTAATTGGCAAATAATAATAAAAAACTGGGCTTAAATTTCGGTGCTCTGCCATATACGGCACGTAAAAATGTTCTCAGGCTTTCGCGAAAGGAGGCAAGAATGGCCGCGTTGCCGAAGTTCCCCAAAACGTTTGCGACGTTGTCGGACCGCCGCGGCGTCTTCATTCATCGCGTCTGAAGACCTTCGCAGCAACAACAACAACGCATTATGGAAAACAATAAAATTCTGGTCAACAGCCGGGGCCCCGCTTCGACGGAAAGGATGCCCGAAAAATTGTCGAGCCAATGGAACGGCGCGGCCTTGCTTCGCCGGAATATTTCGTTATCTAGTCCAAATTAATCGCTTCATTGCAAGGCCACAAGTACACGCACAATACGCATAATAAACTCTATGCTGGCCTTGGAACTCGAGAACCAATTGTGGAAGAGGAAAATGAACTGTCAAATTTATTGAGGTTAAGACGAGATTCAGTATAGTCTTCATCCAGTTCAATAGGCTTGCCCCAGATCTTTCATTACTTATTGGAGGAATTTTTAAAGAAGTCTAGAATCAAACACTGTTTTGGTGTTGGTGTTGGGGAATATTTCTAATATTTGTTTAACATATTAGTTCTCCTTTTTAAAGTATAAATCTAGAATGTCAAAAATGGAGGCAAATATTACTAGATCTATGATTGCGTCTCAAAGCAGATAGGATTTTTTTAAAAAACATTGCAATTTCCAATGAAGAACTAAGGTTGCTATGGTCCATCCATAGCCCATGGAGAATGACAGTGACAGTTTTGTTGAATCATCCCATACTTGGACATGTCATATACAGCTTTCAAAAGCTATCAAATTGTTTTTTGTAAATTAATGTGTTAATTTTGAGGTGTCTTCTTACTTTTAAAAATGTCTCCGACTCATGTTGCCCTTTGTACTTTACTTCTTATGACGTTTAAAACACTTGCCACGTAATACTGTGACCGTCCATCCTGGATTAAATTAATAGCTCTGGCAACATCAGTCGGAGACATATCTATTTTATAAAGTAAGAAGATACCTCAAAATTTAAACATTAATTTGCAAAAAACAATTTGATAGCTTTTGAAAGCCGTGTATGACATGTCCAAGTATGGGATGATTCAACAAAACTGTCACTGTCATTTTCCATAGGCTATGGATGGACCATAGCAACCTTAGTTCTTCATACAGAAAAAATATTGGAAATTGCAATGTTTTTTAAAAAAATCCATATTTTCCACAAAAATAAATATATCGAGGTGAACCAAAAACAAAACTGTTAAGAATAGATGTGACTTGATAAATAAAACTTAATTTAGAACAATATACGGTTTTGCCACTCTACAGAGTATGGTAAAAAACATATTTTTGTTTAAACCTGTATATTATAAACGTACGTCTATTTTTTAGTATTTTTTAAAATGTAAGCGGTTGTCCATTAATTTATCTACAATATTCTTTAATATTCGTTTAAATCCGAAATCAAATAAAAAAGTTATTTGCGATTGAAATTCATCGAAAATTTGTGTGGATCGATTATTTTGCACGTGAGTGTATATTTTTTTATTTCCAGTAAAAATACCTACTATCACTTGTATACCTTAAGAAATGTTTTTTAGTCATTTGCTACCCTTAATATAAAAAAATGCCCAAATATTTTTGGCCACGTTTTAGGTCAAAATACCTGTCTGTGCGACAGTCCATTTAACCTAGTCTAGCACGCGTTTACTATTGTGAAAAGGAAAGTCATAGTTATTAAATACAAGAAATTGTGCCAAATATGCTAATGCTTTGTTAATTAATCTTTGTGCGTATTCTCATATTTTTATAGACTTCCTGTGTGACAATTTTTCGAGGTTAAAAATATTCACATGCGTGTGGAATCTATCATGTCACTAAAAGCGTAGTATTTTTTTTAAAGACGTCGCCGAGTTTAACGTATATATAAAGTTGCGTGTTACGAGATTGTACACAATTTTAAGTACTATTTAACAATATTACTCCAATTCTACATTTTTTACTTGACGCTATTATAAAATTTGCATATCGTAAACTTTCGTTTTCATTCAGTTGTAATAAGTCATTACACTTAGGCATTTAGCGCGCCATGTGGTCATATTTCAGAATTAAATGCTGGTGTTTAATTAAAAGGGCCATAAATTAAACTTGCCAGATTCTTTTTATATTTATATTGCAATACACACCACGGCTACCCGGCACTAACAAAACTTGTTATATCTAACAAACAAAAAGCATGAGTAAAGCAACAATAAAAAGTGAAAAACTTGTTGGAAGACACCAGACCATGATGATCATTAATTTAAAATTAAAGCAAGACTTAACTCAACAAATAAGTTATTTTTAATTAGCCTATAAAATATTATTCATAAATTGCTAATTACCTGTTAATAATAGGCGCCACAATCCGTGATTCCGGTAGACATTATGTAATAATAATAATAATAATAGGTTCATTCATTTTCTTCTGCTGATATAAGCAGGCTTGTTATCGATATAGTTTTTTTACGTAATGCTCGACGATCCCAATTTACTTTACAAGATTGGCACTAAAATGTGACGTCGTTCAAATAGGATTAGGGTAACTTTTTTACGACCTATGGGCCTTTTAATATCATAAGCAAAATTGTGGCGATGTTTATTAATTGAATTTATAAAATCTCCCTTCCTGGTGTTTTTTCGTCGAAAATTATTGGAACCTTTTTTGTTCATTATTAAATTCTACAACTTTTTTTGGAAAAATTAATACTTTTAAAGATATATGTATATAGTAGACTGGGCCAAAAAAATCGACTATTTTTTTTTTGGAAAGTATATCGAAAATATTGTTTGGGGTGACAAAAAAAATTATGGTGAAAGTTAATATTAAGAGGTCTATCGTCGCAATTTTAGATTTTTTTTCCTGAGCGAGTTTTTGTCTCAGAACTCCCAAATCATTGAGTTTAACAAAATTGACTTAAGAATATTTTTTGAAGAAAATTGAATGCTCTACAAAAAGGTTTGATTGGAATTTTCCGTCAGATGAACCCTTTTCTTACAATCATGCCTTAAAAATTGGTATAGTTTTACAATTTGATCTTTTAACTTTTGAATTTTGTAATTCAAGTAAATATCAGTACCCAGAAAAAAAAACGAAAAATATTCTTATGGGAAATCAAATGCTCTACAAAAAAAGTATTTTATCATTTTTGGCTAAATTCACCCCATCAAAAGTTATTCAAGGTTAAATTTGAAGTCAAAACGAAATTTTAACCTTGAATAACTTTTGATTGAGTGAATTTACCAAAAATGTTAAGAGGCTTTTTTTGTAAAGCATTTGATTTCCCATAAGAATATTTATCGGTTTTTTATGGGTACTGATTTTTACATGAATTACAAAATTCCAATTTAAAAGATCAAAATGTAAAACTATACCAATTTTTAAGGCATGATTTTAAGGAAACGGTTCATCTGACGGAAAATTTCACTTTAACCTTTTTTGTAGAGCATTTAATTTTCTTAAAAAAATATTTTAAGTCAATTTTGTTAAAAATTAAAATTGCGATGATAAACCTTTTAATAATAATATTATGGACTCAAACTTTCACAATAATTTTTTTTTGTCACCCCAAACCATATTTTCGATATACTTTTAAAAAAAATAGTTGATTTTTTTGGCCCAGTCTAATATATAGCACTATTTTTTAAATTAATACAAAACAAGCCTGCATAAGAAAGCATCTTTTTTAATAGCTACACGATTAATTATTTGGGCAACAAAAAAATCTTAAGGTTAACAGAGAGTAAAGCCGGTGTCTACACGCCGCGACCTCTGTTTTAATTGTCGACTTAACGAATTTAAATCGGCATATTAAAATTCATTCCATTAGGGAAAAAAAATTCGGAGGTCAATGTCGTGAAAAATGATGATCAAAGAGGGTGAACGTAGAAAGCTGTAAAGTGTAAAATTTCTTGTAAGTCACAGGTAGATGCGGAGGTGTTTTTTCATCGGTGGACAAATGTATTATTCATGCGGCCATTATATGTTAACTATTTTCGAGAAGTCTATAGTCGTCATAGTCGATTCGAAAGGTGAATTCAAATTATAAACGTGTCGTTTCTTGTACCTCTTCTTCTGCAGTCGCTTGTGAGAACGACCGCATTTACAATTCAGGAATTCGATAGGAATTACGAAATACCTAATTTAATTTAAAGGGTACCGGTGGTTTTTTTCCAAATTCTATTTGGA